GTTACCGTCGCAAAAAAATAAATAAATAAAAGTGTAGCGTTAAGCACTCTAGAAATAGCAATGACAAGAATTCAGATAGTATAACATTATAGTTTAATTGAACATTCCATTTGAGTCTCAAAATTTGAGCCACATGTGAAAGTTATTACAACTAAAAACTTGGGAAAAGTTTTTTTATGAAAAAAATACAATCCAGAACTGGCCAATCTTCTCATCAATTTTCTTGCTTGGGTGTTTCTCCACTCTATCGATGAATTGACCAATCTTCTCATCAATTTTCTTTTCAAGTTCTACATTGCAAAGATATGCTCCTGAAAGATATGCTCCTGAAAGATATGCTTTGCAAGATATGCTCCTGAAAAGAAACATTTAAATGATTAATTAATGCTCCTGAAAACAATTTTTGGTTAGAACAATCGATTTATGCTCTAACCATACATTGATCAATTTTGGCCTCTGTGTGAAGCCACCCTCACAATTTTTAATTCTGTTACTATTTTGGATGATGCTCTTCATACTCACCAGTCAAGAGCATGCACAAATTACACATGGCACCCCAGCAATAGACATGATATACACTGACTAGCAGTTACTGATCCTAATTGACTAATCACACTAGTTTGATTAGCCAATCCAGCAGAAGATAACAAGAAAACTAGCATTGATTAATTTGGTGGCTAACTAGAAATCAATTAAACAATTACCCCATAAGGCCTTATTGAGATATACAGTCAAGGATTCTATTATATACATGTACAGTACATGTTTTCCATCATGCCTAAAAGTCTATTCTTAACTGTGAGGATATCTTTTTGAGTACCAACATGTGGCAAGGTGACGCCGACGTGTCAGCCGAGGTGCCACGTGTTAGGGTCATGACGCCGAGGTTATCTCGGTCAAGCTGAGGTTATCTCCGAAGATATAGGAATCCGATATAAGCGGATAAGAGATAAGGGACAAGAGTCCTAGAATAAAGAGGAGACTTAGCCAAGATAAGGATAAAGCTCTTAGAGAGTTTATCTTTGTCTCTTGAGGAGTCCAAAGCAAGTACTGAACAGGAATCCATAGAAGTCAGGCTTCTACTGGGATTAGGATTTAGGTAACTATAAAAGAAAGGCACCCCCGTGGGTCTAAGGTATGCAATTTTATGCTTTGAGTATTGAGTTTAGCATTATTGATTATCTTTGAGAGATATACTGACTTGATCGTCGGAGTGCCCCCCGGTGGTCGAAACCACCGCCGGAATCTTCTCTTTCTGTTGCAGGTTAGCCAGGTGTCATCTATTCTGCCAGTGTTTTCCAGCTGAATACTGAGTCGGGCAGTGTGATCAAAAAATCACTCACACAATTTGGCGCCGTCTGTGGGAACAAAAGTAGAATAGATGGCCAGTAACAGACAGAAAGAAAAGATTAGGGACGGCACTCCTACTGGGAGTGGGAGACCTATTGACCTCGATGGCGAAGGAGAAACGTCGAACGCAGAAACTCATGAACAAAATCACGGAGCGAAAGACGTCGGCCAGACTAGCGACGCACTAAAGAAACCTGATCAAAGCAGGTACTACAACGAAGATGACCTCTAGGTTTTGAAGGATAGGTGCCTACGGAGGGACGAAGAGGTAAAAGAGATGGCAAATAAATTGGTAGACCTGTAGTCGGTTGTCAATTTCATGACACAAAATAATGTCATGCAGCCACCATACCCGCTGCACGACACGCCGATTCCAGCGGCCAATACCCAGAAGGGAGGACAGAAAACAATCCCTGTAGCCCCTCAGCACAACGGAGACGAGAGATACTCTCATCGACCTTCTAGGGAGGGCGGACGAAGAGAATCAAGAAGAGAAGGATCACAGAGGACGCATCGCACAAAGGAGGTAGACCCCAAAGGACATCGGCATGTTCAGGGGCAGGCACTGTGCTTCGACACAACTCATGGAGAAGGATCGAAAAGGGCTCACCACGAGGTTGAGAGTAGTATACCGAAAAGACTGAAATCGAAAGATAGCCGAGCTCTTGGACGGGGCAAAGAAGACTTAAGGGATTACCTCAAGAGGAAGCAACAGAATGCCAAAGCTGAGGTAACCTCTCCAGATAAGCCGAGGACACCATTCTCGGTGGAATTAGACAGATTTGAGGCACCAAAGCGATTCAGTATGCCGAGGTTTCAAATATATAATGGAAAGTCAGACCCCAACTTCCACGTTGGATTATATTTGAATTCAATGGCAATGTATAGTGGGAACGAGCCGTTGCTCTGCAAAGTGTTCCCCTCATCCTTCAGGGAGATTGCATCAGATTGGTTCCACAAACTACCGAAGGGAAGCGTGAAGACTTGGGAAGGCCTGGCCGAGATGTTTGTGGCCAGGTTTGTGACAAACAAGTTGCAGCCATTAAGGGTGGACGAATTAATGGCTCTGAAGATCAGCAAGGATGAAGGCCTTAGGGCCTATGCAAAAAGATATTATAAGGTGTTCAATCGAATACCCGAATGTAATCAAGAGGTGGCAGTCGTATCTTTCAAGAACGGCTTGAAAGACAACTGTCTACTACGAAAGTCTCTGGCAAAGACATTGCCAAAAAGTATGGAGGAGCTCATGGCGAGAATCGAGAAGTGCGCCAGAGCCGAAGAAGACACGTCAGGAACTAGGGAGATAAAACAAGAGAAAGGAAACGGCTCGCCGAAGCGAGGCCGAGGTAACAACGGAACAAGTAGGCAAGAGGCAGAACTGAGGGCCACACAAGCAGTAACAACTGTGTTCCGAATCCCAATTTCCAAAGTCCTGGATCAAATTCGGAACCAGCCTTATTTCAGAACACCAGAAAGGACTCCAGGAGAGTTCATGGGAAGAAACATTGGCAGGCATTGTGCCTACCATAATGAAGATGGGCATACAACTCAGGGTTGTAGAGCCCTAAAAACATATTTGGATGATCTAGTGAGACAAGGACATCTGAGAAACCTTGTCGATGAGACCAGAACAAGGGAAGAACGGGCAAGATTGCCTCAGGCACCGGCAGCCCCACCTCCCCCAGCACAACAGCCACAGGCAGGAGGACCTCGGATAATCAACGTAATCCACTCGAAGGTCAACGAAAACGAAATCAGAGGAGAGACCCAGAAAGTGAAGCACCTGCAACATGTCTACCAAGTCGGGGAAAAAAGACATTAGGCAGAGGAATGCCAAGGACCAATGATAACCTTTACTGAAGCCGACCTAGAGATGGTCCAGCATCCGCATAATGATGCCTTGGTAGTATCCTTCCAGGTTGGGGAGTGCCAAGTGAAACGCATCCTGATTGATCAAGGCAGCTCCTGTGACATCATGTACGTCCGATGTTACAAAGAGCTCAGCCTTCACCAAGATGATATGGAACAGTCCAATGGCCCAATGGTTGGGTTCAATGGAACGCCGACATGGCCTCTGGGAGCAGTAAGCTTGGAGGTGCAGGTTGGCACCAGGAAGATCAAGACAGAATTCACCATCATCGACACACCCTCCCCTTACAACATCATCTTGGGGAGGCCATGGTTGCACGTAATGGGGGCAGTTCCCTCAACGTTGCATCAACTATTACGATTCCCAATATAGCATGGGATAGAAAAAGTCAGAGGCGATCAGCTACAGGTGAAGAATTGCTCCATGGCAGCAATGAAATCCACCTGCAGCGTACGAGAGCCAGAGAAGGCAGAAATTGAAGATGAGGACGTGGAAGTCCTAGAAGACGTCGGCAAAGAGCCAGCCAAGAAGAGCGAAGAGGCACTGAAGAAAATCCCCGTCCAGGATGGGGATGAAGAACACTTCTTTCTTCTCAGCTCGGGCTTAGCCGAAGAAGAGGAAAAGGAGTTGGAAACTTTTTTGAGAGCAAATATTGAGGTGTTCGCTTGGACACCTTACAAAATGCCTGACATTGACCCCGAGGTCACGTGCCACAAACTGAATGTTGACAGGTCGACCAAACTTGTAATTCAACGAGCCAGAAGACTGACGTTGATGCACGTCGAAGCAGTAGAAGAAGAAGTAGACAGCCTCCTGGAGGCCAGGGCCATTAGAGAAGTACACTACCCCACATGGCTATCCAATACAGTAGTGGTAAAGGAGAAGAATGGTAAATGGAGGGTCTGCGTAGACTTCACCAGCCTCGACAAAGCCTATCCCAAAGACAGCTTTCCTCTACCCAAGATTGACCAGCTAGTAGATGCCACTTCAGGGCATGAAAGGATGAGCTTCCTAGACGCCTACAGAGGATACCACCAGATAGCCATGTACCCTCCAGACGAAAAGAAGACCGCGTTCATCACCCCAAAAGGCCTGTACCGTTATAGAGTAATGCCTCTCGGGTTGAAAAACGCAGGAGCAACTTACCAAAGGCTGGTAACCAAAATGTTCAAACACCTGATTGGCCGAACAGTAGAAGTCTACATCGATGACATGGTCGTTAAGACCAAGGAGCTTGAGGGTCATCTTGCCGATCTAAAAGCAGTCTTTGAAATCCTTAAAACATATCAGCTCCGACTCAATGCATCAAAGTGTGCATTGGGAGTTGGATCTGGTAAGTTTTTAGGATACCTGGTGGCTAAAAGAGGCATCGTGGCCAGCCTAGATCAAATCAAGGCCATCCTAGAGTTGAAGAGCCCGACGTCAGCAAAACAAGTGCAGTTGCTAACTGGAAGGGCCACAGCCCTAAACAGATTCATCAGCAGAAGCTCAAATAAGTGCAGACCTTTCTTCAACTTGGTGAAGAAAGCCACAGACTTCCTGTGGATAGAAGAATGCGAAGCCGCTTTGGCCGACCTGAAGAAGTACTTGACCACAGCTCCAGTTCTTACAAATCTAGAACCTGGGGAGAAGCTGTTCCTGTACTTAGCCATTTCAGAACATGCGATAAGTGCAGTACTAATCCGAGAAGAAAAGGGGGAGCAAAGGGCTATTTACTATGTAAGTAAAACCCTAGCCGATACAGAAACGAGGTATCTACCCTTAGAGAAATTGGCACTAGCTGCGACTTCGGCCCCAATTTCTTCTACCGTAATTGCCCCGGCGTAGTTAGCTCTGCCGATCGAGATAGTTTGAGCCGAACCTTTACTCTCCCAGGTATTCTATCGATTCAGTGTGCAAATTTTGTAGGCAGTGATAATGGTGAAATTAAGGGTTTTTCTAGGGATTGTGTTAGGCTTCTTCCTTTGGAGTTGTGGCTTGTTAGGAGTGAAATTGAGTCATTGAGGGATTACCCTATTGCCTATTCGTATAGAGTTCTTTGGATCATTTTGTGTTCTGTTATGGCTGAAGATTGTGATTTCCTTAGATGGGTAATTGTGAATTTTCCTTTGTGATGATGGTGTGATTGATGTGCCTATGAGGGATCAAATAGTTTTGCTTTTTTAGCTTTGTTTGAAAGCAATTGTGAGGGAAGCTACTGGTTCGGTGGATTCAGTATTGAACATAGATGTGAGGGAGTTGAATCTAGCTGCTATGAGTTTATATCATGGATGGCTATTATTTCATGATATAAACTCTGTGCCTAATGATTTGCACGTACAACATTATAATTTCAGTTTATTTTCAATTGCGGGAAGTGGTGTGTGTTTTTGTTTTTAAATTATGGATGTGAGAACTTTCTGGTTTTTAAAATATTTCAAGTTCTCTTACTAAGAATTTAGAATTAGAAACAGCATCATAAGCAATCACTTGACCTGCTACTTTGTTTCCTCAGTGCACATCAAAGAAAGGTGGAAGTGAGACAATGGACCTGATTGATTGCAGAATAAAAGTTTGGTAGCCAGTGGACAAGCGGTAAGTATTTTGTTGGTTTAGAGAACAAGATTAAGCCATTTTTTAACAAAATAGGTGAGAAAGATAAAGTTGGAGCATGAGATGTGTAGGTCTATGAAATTGGGAATCTCTATTATATTTAAATTTCTAATTTATTATGTATCCATCTTCTGTTTAAAATTAAGCTCTGGATAATTTCCTTTCCAGGTAAAAGTAGTTAGATTGAGATGAGTCATATCCTTTCAGTCATAGGTTCAACACTTGAAAAAATATTTTCAATAACACCAGTGTCTACAGGGTTGGCCATGGCTTAGTTTTGTTCTTCACTTGGATTGTGAAAATGAATTTTATTTTCTTGTACCCATGAACACAGTGACCCCTTACCAAATTCTTCTTTAGTTCAGTTTCATGAAAGTTTCCCATTCTACTCCTTTGTTTAGGGCCATGGGTGGTCTGCTACTACTAGGAGTCTGCGACTTTTGATCAGTTTGTCACTCTGTTTTCTATGCCATCCATATTGGATTCTTTGGCATACATTAAAACTTTTCTTAATCCTTTGATTGAGTCATCTCAAATAGTTGACCTTGTTTATGACTTAATCAATAGCTACTCATAAGTTCTGTTCCATTCCTAATTGTGTCTTTCCTGCAAGGAAGCAAGGACACTTCCCTATATGTGACATATACACATTTTTGGACACGGATAGGTGTCAAACACTGGAGACATGCCCCAACATCTGTTAATTTAGTTTAACCTGACATGTTGCTGACTTGGTGAGGACATCCCTGTATGAGAATCAGACTCACACAGACCAAAAATGGCAGGGGCCAAACTCTAATTTTGGAAGCCATTTAATGAACGGTCAAAGTGGTAAAAATAAAAATAAAAAGCTTGATACATTCAGAATGGAAAGAAAATTTGACTCTACACTCGCACATCCCAATATTAGTGATGGGCCAAGATGACTTGTACCCAGTTGTCAGTCGCACTGGCACATCCCAACGTGGGTGACTGGTGAAGATGACTTCTGCCCAGCGGTGTGTACCCTAGGGCCAATGACCTCTGGCTAGTAGAGAAGGGCTTCTGGCATATTCTCTTTGGCCCTTTCTTGCATTGACCTCCCAGTCTTGTGGCCTTTGGCTGATGTTGCTTGGGTTGTCATGATGATTAAAAAATTATATATATTGATCTCATGTTTGCTCTTTAGCTACCATCTTTTGATTGCTTTGACGCTGCCAATTTTCATCAGCCAAATCAATTTGTGGGCTGTCTGGAGATGGATTACATGTGGATGCAAGTCTTAAACCCATTCATCATCTTTTTTTACTTTATTTATATTTTCTATTTGTCGAACATGACATACAAAGAAAAAATGGGAGAATCAAATCAAAATTTATATTTATAATTTCCAAATGTAAATATATATATGTATATATTGTTGTGGCTCTGCTGGTTTTATGGCTTTTGAAAATTGCCTTGTTAGCGTGTATATATATCCATGTGCTAATAAATTATTCAAAAGCATACCGCATAATCTTGATCTAGGGAATGACAATCCTTGATTACCTTAGTAGTGTGTACTTTTTGTACACGTGGTTTGCACTCCAAAATCCTTGTGTGTATACACGCTGCTGCAAGAATTATGTCTTGATGGTGTCTTGTTAAAATCAACAGGTTTTATGGAGTAGTGAAGTCTTATGACTCTGAACATAAGAAACATGTGGTAAGTGCACCGTTCCATGTTCTATTTTTTTATTCTAATACTTATGTTAGTCATGTTTTGGAGATACACATTTTATTTATTTATTTATCAATAATGTTATAATTGTAATCTCATATGGTTCTTTGACATAATTTTCTCTGATCAATTTTGTGTTAAAGGTACTGTATGATGATGGAGATGCTCCGTTTAGATAAAGAGCGTTGGGAGCTTGTTGACAATGGTCACAAGCCTACAAAGGTTAACTTTATATTACAAATTCTATTGAACTAATGAATTGGCCTTTAACTCTAACAATGTGTCTTTTTTACACCACCATTCACAGCAGTTAAATTCATCGAAAGGTCTATCTAAAAAGGGATTGTGAGTAATGCCTTCTAATTCATATCTGCAATCTACAAATTGTTTTGTGGGAATTATATGTTTAAACGTGCAGAGGCTTGTGGCAGTATTGGTGCATGGATCTAATTTTATTTTATTTTGCAGATTGTCTGAGAAGAACATCTACAAGGTTTCATTTTCATTATGATTTATCCTAAACATTTGGCTTATAATAGTGTTAGTACATTTTGATTATGTAATTCTGTCTAGAGTGTATGCACACATGCACACATTCTACCTGGCTGATCTCTTCTTATTTTCTTGTATTGGTTAGATGCAATTAGTCTATATTGTTGACGAACCTGATTGAATAAATACATTCCCTCCTTTCAATCCTTGTAGTATGATGCTGTTGGATGGGCACCAAAGGAGTATAATCCAGACAATAAGCAGCCCTCTGGTGGGCAGGAGCCAAGTGGTGGAGAGGTTACAGGTCCAAAGGATGCTTATTCATTACAATCTGGCTTTGTTTGGGATGAAGCATCTGGCTATTATTATGATGCTTCTTCTGGATTCTATTATGATGGAAATACAGGTATTTATTTATTTGGAAGCTACATTTTAGTTGTTGTTTTCCTCATTGTTACTATAAAAGTTGTCTTGATTTTATGTTTATGCATAATATAGGCAAATGTTGCAAGTGTTGTATCATGTGAGCCATAGCCCCCGTGATATCAATGTTGTGTTCTATAAGTGAAAGTTTTGATATGTGTTTCTCATGCAATTGGACTGGTGCATTAGTGTGGCATCCTAAATCTTTAACAATCTTATTCAGTGTGCATCAAATAATTAATTTCATTAATCATTGGTCTTGTGGTGGCGTTCAATTTTTAAAGGGCCTCTGGTTTGGATTTTTGCCGTCAACTGACCAATCTACAAATCAAAGTAGTCATTGCTCCACTAAAAAATCCAAAATACACAGGAAGCCAATATTAATTCTCTTTCTTTCTTGTGCTTAACCCCAGCAAGGTAGAGGGTGGCTTAACAAGTGCAATTTCAACAAACTTGAACGAAGAAGGCCCTTTGCCCTCTATAAAATTGGTCAGAAAACAATTCGGTGGAGACAAATTTTGGAGATAGGACAGTGAAAAGAAACCAAGACGAAGATGATGATATTCATGATCAAGAAGACTCGAAACCAATGGATGAAAGGGCATTTTGGAGGAAGCAATTGCTCAAACCTTGAAGAAAAACAAGAACAAGAAAAAATAGAAGAAAAATGAGCCTTCTAAAGGAAAAAGCAAATTGAAGAGTGATAAAACAAAGGAGGAAAACATAGGAGAAAGGGTGGACAAGTGTGAAAAACTTAAGACATTTGAGGAGTTCTTCATGGATAAATTTAAATCCATTGGAAATGATCTCATCTTTTTTATTCCAATCTTGCACACCCACATGCCAACTTCTATCATTTCATTGGAAGTAGAAAAAAAGATGATTAGAGCTCTTGATCTGCTAAAATCATTTCGAACTTTGTTGCGTACTGATGTTGCTGCAAATAAGTTTTTAAGAGAACTCATTAATGGAACTGCATATGTCAGGAACAGGATTAATGGATTCATGAAGTTGAGTTCTGTCAAGGCAGAGTGCCTTCAAGTACTCAAATTCCTTCGCGAAACCTTTTCTGCTCTAAATACTACTGACAAATTTGTAATTCGAAGTTTTTGCTTGCAAAATGCGTGCTTGATATTCTGCACTGCTTCAAGCTCTGCTAAGTTGTGTATAGAAGAAGAAAACCCACTGGAACTGTTGGTGATCGATGAAGCTGCTCAGCTCAAAAAATGTGAATCCACTATTCCATTACAGCTCTCTGGTATCCGTCATGCTATACTCGTTGGCGATGAACGACAACTTCCTTCAATGGTTCAAAGCAAGGTTTCTGATTTAATTTAATTTAATTGTCTTTGTGTTTATCAATCTTTTATAAAAATTGTTATCTTGTATTGACATCTTGAAAATCTATGCATAATAGATATGCCCGAACGTTGAATTTGGAAGAAGCTTATTCGAAAGGCTGGTGTTATTAGGGCATAAAAAGCATCTTCTTAGCATCCAATACAGAATGCATCCATCAATAAGCATGTTTCCGAATAGGGAATTCTATGACAATATGATTTCTGATGGTCCGAATGTCAAAGAGAGAACCTACGAGACGCCTTTTCTTCAAGGAAGTATGTATGGCTCTTATTCCTTCATAAATGTAAGCTATGGCCAAGAGGGCTTTGATAACAGACATAGCACGAAAAACACAGTGGAGGTAGCTGTGGCCGCCGATATTGTTGCAAGACTCTTTGAAGGTACTTCTTTTGTATTATAGTCAATGAAAAGTTTTAGAATTCTTTGAAAACAAAAACAGAAAGCAGAACATAGAACACAGAAAATAAAACATTACCAAATGGGCTATAACTTTTTAGTGTTTTTTGCCTGAATCATGATCAATAAGTGAGGATTCTAATATCTGGCTGCATTATTCCCACTACAGAATCCGAGGCCTCAAAACAATTTTTTTGGTTAGTTTTCAAGTTTTTGGAAAACAAAAATAGAAACAGAAGCATTACCAAACAGGCTGTAATTTTATTTTGTTTTCTGCCTCAATCGTGATCTGCAGAATCTAAGGCGTCAAAACAGAAGGTTAGAATTGGTTGCATATCACCATATAAGGCTCAAGTATTTGCACTTGAACAAAAATTTGGAAAAACGTACAACACAGATGCAAACAGCGACTTTTCTGTAAGTGTTCGATCTGTTGATGGGTTTCAAGGTGGTAAGGAAGATGTCATAATTATCTCTACTGTGCGATGCAATGGGCGTGGATCAATGGGCTTTCTTTCCAATCATCAAAGAGCTAATGTGGTTCTCACTCGAGCAAGGTATTGTTTTTTGCATAGCCGAACCTTGTGATAATTAAGCTCTATTTTACTGTGTGGTAATTTTTTGTTTTTTTTTTTTTGGGGTGGTGTAGGCATTGCCTTTGGATTTTGGGGAATGGTGTTACTTTGATTAATAGCGGCAGTGTATGGAAAAAATTAGTTGTAGATGCCAAGGCTCAAGGTTGTTTTTATGATGCGAATGATGACAAGAACTTAGCTCAAGCTGTTGGAGGCGCCTTAGTTGAGCTTAACCAACTTGACATATTACTCAAGCCCGGTTCTTTTCTGTTTAGTAATACAAGGTGGAAGTATATATATATATATATATATGCTCTCTTTAATTGTCAACAATTATACTATTAAAACCCTTTCATATCAAACATTTCCATGCATCGTATATTAAAAATTGCAACATGGTTGCAAAAATCAATGCTTTTCTCCTTAGAAGAGTTGTGTTAGAAGCTCCCTAGAGAGAATTATGAAAATTCTCCTGTTTGTAGTTGTGTTTTTATTTTCCCAAAAAACACACAAAAACTTAGGAGATGAACTGTTTCTAACATTGTTATCAATAAGAATCTTCAGGCACCCAAGTTCGTTGGCTGGGTTGAATTGGCTCTGTTTTCATATGTACAGGAGGCTAATGCACCTGTATCATGTAGAGAAGAAAGGATGTTCTCCTTCAAAGTGGGTATTTTACATTCTTTTTTTTTCTTCTAATTATCATGCATGGATTAGTAAAGAACTTGGCTTGAGTAGCTCCTATTAAAATGCCTTTACATGTTGGTCATCTCTTCTGAAATGCCCCTAGGAATGTCAAATAAAGCAGCTGGCCTGAAGGTTGCAGATGCACCAAGCTCATCTGAGATGCATGAATCAGATTTGTCTGCTGCAGCTACTGGTCTGCTGCTGCTGGTTTGTTGCTGCTGTCGCCCTTGTGGTTGATGCTTGCTAGGCTGTTGCTACTGCAATGTTGCTATGAGGCAGCTGCTACTAGATGTTGGTCTGTTGGATAAGTTTGTGGATACTTTTCGTGTCGTTTTGCCTGTCTTTGTTAGTTTCATGTTTTCATTTTGTTATCTGTTGTTTGTAATGTGGGTTCACAATTAGTGAGTTTACCCTTTTAGGTTTTATACACTGCTTCTAAAAGCAGTATCAGCAGTGTTTTTTTTGCTTGTAGATCAACTTTAGGTGATTTCATATCAATGTTATTAGTTTGTAATAGTGGTGCATGAGGAATGCCTCTTGTAAATCTGTAAATCTTATAAAAATATATAAATTATTTTCAATTATTTTTGTTGGTAAATGTGTCGCCAAAAGTTTATTTTTGCCCACTCATATTGTGTTGCTAGAAATGTATTTTTAGACAATGCCAATTTGTCGTTGCCAAAAGTAAACCTTTATCGACAAACAAATCGTCGGCAAATGGCAATATTTACTGACGTAAATGTGTTGTCAAAAATTTACTTTTGTCCACTCATATTGTGTTGCTAAAAGTGTATTTTTTGCCAATGCTAGTTTGTCGTTGCCAAAAGTGAAGCTTTATCGACAAACAAATCGTAGGCAAATGGCAACATTTACCGACATAAATGTGTCGCCAAAAGTTTACTTTTGTCAATGCATATTTTGTTGCTAAAAGTATATTTTTTGCCCATGCAAATTTGTGTCACGAAAAGTGCCACACAATCATCATATTTGAATGACTTTTACCGACGCAAGGTAAATTGCCGACGATGGATGAAGGCTTTTAACGACGATTATGTTCGTCGCTAAAGGTATTACTTTTACCAACGCAATGATATTTCGTCGGCAAAAACTTTTGCCAACTCACTTTTGCCTACGGGTTGCCAACGTAGCTTTGTGTGTTGGCAAAACTCTTTGCCAACGAATTTTCCCTTTTAGCAACATATTTTGTTGCGTTGTAAAAAATGCAATTTCTTGTAGTGAAAGGCATGAAAACACACACACAAATATGCATCAACATGGGCCTAAACATGGAGCATAAGCCATCAACTATTCAAAGCATGAAAGGGATGGAAAATGCAAGCATATAAGCACATCATGAGGTCTGAAATAACATACCAAGTGATTCCAAACCACTGAAACAAAGCAAGGATGGCATGTTAGAGAGGCCAAAGCATAAGGCATTCAAGAGGGATTGCATGGTAGCTATACAAAGCAAGACATGAATGACTCAAATGACCTAAAATTGTCCCTTAGCACATCAAAATATGCATGTAAGCTTCACAAACCTTAGCCAAAACACATGAGCATGGTAGTCTAAATGCTATGCATGTATTGAGGCAAATCATGGCATTACAAGGCATTTATGCTAAGAAAGCATGGTGTACCAAAACCAACTAAAAACAGAGGCATATTATGACATCATAAGCATGAAAATCATCTAAGGCATGGCCAACACACACTTAGACTAGATGCTCCCTCAAGAGGCAAAAAGGGGCCCTTTTCAAGGACAACAAGGAGAGGGGGTGGCCCTCTCCTTCCTAGGACCTCAAGGCACCATCCTCATCACTGAAATCCCTCAAGATTTCAATGGTGAGGAGGCCCAAACACAATGGTCCCGGAGCTACCAAAATGGCACAAAAAAGGGGTCAAATAAGCCCTAAGAG